CGACCAAGTGGAGAATAACATACAATAGCTACACCAAGTTCTCTACATGTTTTTAAAAGTCCAATATCATCTCTTTCAATATCTAAACTGAATGGTGAATATTCAATTTGTATACAAGCAACTGGATGAACAGCACATGCTCGTCGTAATGTATTACTTGAACATTCAGATAAACCAATATATTTTACTTTACCAGCTTTAACAAGTTCTTTTAAAGCATCCATTGTTTCTTCAATTGGTACAGTTTTGTCAATACGATGAACATAATAAAGATCGATTGAATCAATACCGAGTCTTTTTAAACTCTTTTCACATGCTTCATGAACGTATTGTGCATCGCCACGAACTGAGTAAGTTTGTGTTTCAGGTAAGAATACACCGGCAAACTTTGTTGCAAGAAAAATCTAGAAATAAAAAAAATAGTATTTAAACTTTTGATCAGAATGATCTGTGTGCAATTTACATTGCACTACATATATGGTTTATTTTTAAACAAACAAAATGATTGTTACATTTATAATAAATAAAATATTTCTATTCTGTTTTAATTAAGGCATTATTCAAAGTTTATACTTAAAGAAAATGTTTTTACTCACCTTTTTACGTTGTTGTGGATATTTCTTAAAATATTTTCCTAATAAATCTTCATTATCACCATATATATCGGAACTATCAAAATAAGTACTACCAAGTTCAATAGCACGATCCAAGACTTTGAATCGTTCTTCATCGGATCCGACAGTTCCATATGCTATTGATAAACCCATTGCTCCATAACCAATAGCTGATACTTTTGGACCATTTTTACCTAATTGCCGTTCAGGCATTGATGAATGATTAAACAATCGATTACACATGTCGACTTTCACAAAGAGAAATAAACAATTTTATATAGAAATATAAAATAGCTGTATTCAATTGTGAAATCTTCTCAGTATATATACGCCTATAGAATACGTCGCAAAACAAAAAAAGGTGAACGCATTTTTTACCATATGTTTAAAAAAAAGAAAGGTGAACGCATTCGTACCATATGACAGAGAAAAGAAAGGACAATTATAAAAAGAAAACAAGATGATGGTTTTGAAAATATCGGATATTATTAAGTTATAAAGAGTAAGGTAATTGGTTATGTCATTCAATGATTTTAGTCAAGTACAATGAGAAATTAGTCATTATATCAAGATATAACTGATATTTTCTAACTTCGTAGTGTCGCTTTATGAAAATATAAATATGTGTTACTAATATAAAAGCATAATTATAGTTTCTGTTACAGATTAGGCATAGTTTGTATATTGAAAGATGCGGAATTGAACGGGCTACAGAATGAGGTACAACGTAGTTTATCAAATCCTAAGTTTAGTAGACTTATGGGAAAGAAACGAAAGATCGTTTTCCGATTCACTTTTTATGATTTTGGTGACAGGAGGCCTTTCTTAATTGAATGCTGTTTGATGATACAGTGCTGTAGAGAGCTCAGATGCGTCTTGATTTGCTCAGGAACCTTTTTTGTACAATATGAGGGTGTTATAGAAAAAGTATCACCCGAATTCGTGGACTTAGTTTTCTAAGGTTTTGGTTTTCCAGAGATCTGAGCTTACTTTTCAAAAAAACTGATGTATTTGAATTTAAAGCACGTGAAATTCCGCCTTTTCCTATGTCATAAGCATTTCGGGTGCCATTTTGAGTACAGCACTGTATCTCATTCACCATTCTACAATAGCTCAAAAATACTGCATTGCTATCTGCACGTTAAACCTGACAAAAACTTGTCAGTGTTGCTCTTCTGGAACAAAAAATGCAAAAACTTCCGCAAACTTTAGTGAACTTTATCAAGTTAGGGAGGTGACATTCAGTCGAAGGACTGTAAATAGTAGTCCAAGGGGACCAGAGGGTGATATTTAGTGCTTGTAAACACCCCTTTCAGACTCAGTAAACACATAGAATTTCAGGTGGTCTTTTTTCCATAAGATCCTGCCTATAAAAATAAACCTCAAACTTCCTTCTCCTACAAAGACCGGACAAGTCCTTGGAAGTTTTCACAAAAAGTAGTGTTACAACAATCAAACGTTGATATAAAATGATCAGCGCGATCGGTGTTATCGACATCTCTAGATTGACTACATACAATTCCAACGTACGCAACAAGAATGAAGGTGAAATAACGGTCAAATGGGTAAAAGAGAATATCATTACGAATATTAGCCAAAGAAATATAAATATCACGAACCATTACATGGGAAATATTGACAAAAGAACTAGGATGTATGCTGTATATAATAGGAATAGAACCAGCATTAAATAGTAATAGGAAAAAATTCGTCAAACGGGTACAACACTAATTCGAAAAGATCGAAAAATATAGCGCGTCAAATAATTATTATCATTTTTCAAAAGGCATCAAATAGTATTTTCACCTTATCGAAAAGAAAACATCATGAGAAAAAATGAAGGTAAGGCATAACATATAGTTGTTCGGTTATGATTTGTTTATTTCAATATAAATACAAGAAAATGGACCTATAGCAGTTCATAGTATCGACTGATTGGTTCTGTCTGAAATGAATGAATAATACAACAGCATAGTCCACAAAGTATTTTATTCAAATGACTTAATCTCACTTGAGAAAATTTATCGTACAGTATACGAATAGTCTAGTCGGAACTTAATGTTTCTCTATTGTTTATCAAGTTTAATTCCATATTTTTCCATCCATTGTGTCTTTTCTCCTGTTTCCGGTGCTTTCATGCCGTTTTCTAATGCATTTTTGGTCGATCCTTCTAGGAAACCAGCTGTTACGCGTTTCTCATCTAACTCCGTAATTTTAGCTACCAATGAACTTAATTCATGTAACATTTTTGTTTTAACTTCTTGAGTGCGACCTGAACGAATTAAACCTTGAACCAAACACGGCGTATTATTAGAATCACTACCAACATAACCGTTGTCTGAGCGTAGTTTTTCTGTACAATCCTGCATAATTCCATCTTGCTTAGGTCTTTGTAGGAGAAGGAAGTTT